CCTTCCGGGCTCGCAAATTACTCCTTTGGCTTCAACAAAATTATTTTTATGATGGGACGACGATAAACTCCTGTTACTGTAGTCACTTCGGCTACCCGTACTCTGTCATCGGGTCCAGGAAAAATTCGCATAACTTTTCCTCTTGGCCATGATGTCTCCTTCTGCAACATCACTGCTATTGAACTGCCACTTGCTTCTCTTTATCAGCGAGGGTACATATTCCCGTATCCATCGTTGCCAGAAAAGGTCCGCATATCTTCGTTCCTCTCGCCATTGCTTTCTAATACCTAATGGATTCACTTCATTTGACTTTCCAATAAGGTTGCTTCCGCATCTTGATGATCAGAAGATACATAAGTTAAGGGAAGGCTGTTCCCTGTATATTCAATTCTAACTATAAGAGAATGCAAAATCTCTTCTTTTGGGTAAGAATTACCTTCAAGGCACTTTTAACAGATTTAATCATTCTTTCCCATTTTCCTCCCAAATGACTTGCTGCTGGTGGATTCTTAAACCATTTTATATGACGAATGCAACAAAAATATTGAATTCGGTTCGAATCTAGTTCTTGAATGACTAGTTTGATTTCTTTTTCAGCTCCGCGGAGGTTTGATCTATTATCAGAGTGTATTTAACAGCTGGTTAACGGAAAAACATACAGAAACATATTTCTAATGGATTACCTCTTCTACAGATGAATCTACGAATTGCCATGATGGCTGAATCCGTAGTCAGAATAAAAGCCAGTTCTAGATGAATTGCCCTCGTTGACATACAGGTGAAGATAACCCCATACCTCTTTTCTTTCCTTTTACCAATTGTGATTGTTATTGGGCCAAAATAATCCATGCCTGTAATCAATAATGATCTGCATTGTTGTACTATCCTAAAGTCTGGAATTAGTCCCATCTGCTTAGTTGCAACATTGGAGTTTTTCTTGTCACATATAATGCAGGATTATATACAAGCTTTTACTACTGATCTTTCCCTTAAATGGTTTATGATTCGCTCTCTTACCTGATGATGATTCAGTTTATGACAATGTCTTATCAACAACATGGTCATCCAGTTTCTTGAATCCAGAACAATTGGCTGTCTCATATTGATATCTAGGTGTTGTGCTTCATCCAGTCGTGCACTTAGCCTCAAAATATTGTCTTGGCCGATAAATAAATTCAAATTTCGAAGACGACTTTGTTTTCTAGGATTCTTCATACGATTGAGTCTCTCAATATCTTCGAAGAATCAACTCACTTGTGATTGCCTAATAATTTCAAGTTCAGCCTTTTCAAATTCTTCAACCGTTAGCTCATCTGAGAAAATCTTAGGAGTTGGTAGACCAATTTTCTTCTTCATGAGATGAATGAATCTCATCACCCAAGCGACCGACCTGACAAGTCGTAAATAATTCGAAAATTTTGAAAAATTGATGATTTCTTCACATCTTCTGTTGATCACAAAAACATTTTTTTTTCCTACTTCTGTACCATCTTCTATCTTTTCTTCGGCATGAGACCATTTAATCTTTTCTAAAGTCAAGAACCGAAGACCTTCAAACCAATTCTGAAGGTTATCAATGTTCCAAAGACCCCTGGTCGCTACATCTGCTCTACATTGAACTTTGTGGGTAGCCAAACTATTTTAGAATCAATCCAGACTAATTTTGTATTTATTTTTATGCAGTGGCCATTTTCGATAGTTTTAGCCAATCTTGATCCAAGAAGAATTGCTTGAAGTTCTGGGCATTATCATGGGCTTCAAGGAATTGACTCTTAACCTAGCCATTACTAGAAACTGATCACTGGAGTCTTTCATTCGAAAATAAAACACACTTTTCAGTATCAGTACTACTTTTGGATAGTAATTCAGCAGGTAAGTATATTTGTTAGGACATGACTAGAATTGCTGACCCAGTTTATCATTCTGAATTTGCCTTGGTTATGGATGTTTATGACTCCGTGAACAATTTCAATGGGTTCTGCACCGTTTTCGAAACTGTCTAAGTAATCATCCATATATTATGATATTTTTCAATAGCTTTCACTGCTTCTGGATATTTCTTTCCATGTTTTTTGGCATTTTCACGAAAGACGTAGATCGCAGAGCTTGGAGGACAGATTGCTTCGAATGTCATGGATTTCATTTGGTAAGTAAGAATAGGTCCGTCTTTCTTTTCCCCTCCACAGAAATCGCTGCGAATCTTGATCTTCATTTTGTATGCATATCCTTAGGAACATTTCTTTGGTGTCTCCAATTACAGCTATTCAATTTTGACGAAAATTGAATGAAATGTTTACTAAGAAATACATTTTCGTTCAAATTGATTCCATCTATTTTGGCTGTGGCATCAAAAACAAATCTGTGAATTTTTGTGGTTTACTAGGTTTTACTGCCAAGTGTGACAAATAACAGGTTTTGAGAGACGTAACGACATCTTCTTCGCAAGCCAAAACTTTTGCGTATCCTTTCTCAACGAAATTTTCTATCTTTTTGAAATATTTCTCTCCAAAATGCTTGTCTTTCTGCACTTACTTCTCTACAGTAAATAATCTATTCAACGCGGTAGCTTTGCTGTCTGGCAAATTGATATTTTCTTTCTTCCAAAACAAAACAATTTTCCAGTGGTTGTTTTCTAACTGACGACATGTTTCTTCCGTGAGTTGAAACGCCTGTTTGTCTTATGAAGTATGATAAAATTTGTCATTTTCAACTCCCAAATTATCCATCAGAATGGATTTGGATTTACAACACTAATCGGGTGGAGTAAGCGATTATAGTATTTTTCGCATTTCTGCAGACCACAACGTCTTCGATTTTTACATTTGAGATGAATGAAGGCAAGATAGGCAAATTTTTTTTCTTTCACCCATTCCCGTCTCTTATCAGTGTCGAGACTCAGGAAATGGTCGCATTTGTATATGGAATGAACAAAATCGGCAACACTTTTCCATTGATCAATTTTCTGTTCCAATGAAAACGATATTTTATTTTTCTTGTCTATATACGGGACTGTTGATGGAGAATGTGAAATAGATGGTTTACATAACAAACAAGCTGCCAAAGATTCTTCTTGTGACCACTCTGAAAACTCTTTCAACGATATATGTCTTTGTTTTTTTGACAATAATTCTTGCTCACTGGAACTGAAGGTGTTCTGGCAATTTTTGAACGAGTTGACTGAGGAGTTGGCTATTGTTGATATATGTTTCCATTTTCAAAGATTTTGCTGTGACAGTAAGGTTAAGAACCGAATTGGCAAATTTCACGAAGGATATTGGAGAACGAGTGTTCACGGGTGGTAATAATTTCACTTTGTTCATCATGGATTCCATTATAAATTCATGTCGTTCAAATCTAGCCTATAACGTCTTAAGTATGTCATTGAGATTATCTGGAGAGACAAATAGTAGCTTCACTGCATCTAAAGTTTCATTTCTTAGGGCTCTTTGTAAACGTAGCAAATTTTGTTCATCAGAGTAAGCACATGTTTCAATGGGTCGTTGATATAGAGAAACAAACATCGGCCAATCCTCAACATTGCCGTAGAAATAAGGAGGTTCTTTCCCCACAACATTCCTGCAGGATACCTAAGAAGATTCGCTGTAGATTTGATTTTGTTTGGTTACTGATTTGAATGTATCTGTCATTGCTGAAGTGAATTCTTTCATAAATTGATTTGTTGTGATAGGTTCATTCATTAATTCTTCGGTTTCTGGGTTTGACTGCTTTGAATATAGAACACTATTTTCCAATAACCAGTCAACAACTTTTCGACGAGTATTTTCCATTGAAATATCTGATAACTTGTCGTGTCGGAAAGAATTCATTTTGCTACTTCTTTCAATGCTTTTTTATATATGCTACTTAACGCAACACTTTGCTCAAAGCTGCTTTCAATGCTTCTTGAAGATTTTTCTGAATTCTATAAATGTTTGAATCTCCATAATGGTTAGTTTTCTTTCACGTTCTGAATGTTCCAATTTTTGTTATTCCAATTCTTAATTTTTGTTGTTCGAATTTCAATTGCCTATCTTCTAATTCTTTCTGAAGTTGATTCTCAGCTTGCAACTTCTTTGATTTCAACATTTCCAATTTACTCGCAGTTGAACTACGTCACTTGGTAGATTATTTCGATGACTCAAATGATTTATTTGGTGTATATTTTGACGGCAGGATTCCAGCAGTGGCTCTGTTAGTTGTTCGAATACATTTTTCCCTCGTGACATCATTCAATTGGGATTTTACAAATTTGACAGCAGTTGATATTTTCCGTCTTAGAATGCGGCTTCAACTTGAAATAGTACTGAACAAAACTCGAAGTACCAAAATGTTAGGAAAAACTTCCTATTCTCGGCTTTTAATTCAAAAAACAAATGTGGCAATAATATTGGTAACTATATAAAATAAACAATCTCAATTTCAATACTAGATGTGTAATTAATTCACAACAACTGCAACATATTATTAAATGCCAATCCAGCCTGATGGTTGTCAGTATCTCGACATCACTTCACACATATTGGATGAAACAATCCACAGTCTTAGATACTTCTGTCTCAAGTATACTTGTGGTTCTGTGTTCTCTCAAAAAATTAACAACCAAATCGGCATTTTTACCACAGAATTTTGTGTTAACACTTCTGTAAATTTGTTTAACTTATACATTTGAAGAAGAAGAAGAAATTTGTAGGTTGTTTTCACAGAACTATAACTTATAGAGCTATAACTATAAACTAAGTTATCTTATTCACGCCGGTTGGAGGCCGGATGGACCGGATGTCCACGTGGAGACAGGATTTTACCAAATAAATGTGTTGATTATGTGTAAAAAGTTTCGAAGTCTCCAAAAAATATTAAGTGTTTTTTAATATAATAAAAAAAATTGACAAAAAAGGGGTGGCAGCATTGCTGCGTGCAAGACAGCTGCGCCCCCCCCCCCCGAATCGAGCTGGCTAAATGCGCCTATCTGGAAGCAAAAGGCCAAGAACTTTGAGTGAAGTGAAGTGAACTCTAAAGTTATAGTTCTGTGGTTGTTTTGCAATTTATACATAATTCTGATAATTTGGTCATATGCACCTGAAGATAGGAAGAAACGACCATCCAAAATAGAGAGAGAGAGTAATTCTGATAAAAAACTATACTTTTGTTTTCAGGGTTTCAACCCATGTGCGCTAGGAGCAATTCTTAGAATTATGGGGTGAGTTGTTTAGTAAATAATGGCAAATTTCCAATTCACATTATTGAGGTTACCTTAGTTTATTTTCCAGACTAAATTTATTATATTTCAGCATTACCAATGATACCAAACAACACAAACTATACATTCGGTTGCCATTTAGAATAAACGAGGAGTTTGTTGTTCGAGATTTACATTCTAATATTGTACAGGTGGATTTACCTCGACAGGTGAGTTTCCATTTTTCAAGGGCTTTATTTTTCGGCAACATCCTCCAGAAAAATGTTTTCACAATGAAATAATACAAAACTGATAGTGTAACTCTCTAGGATGGTACTTTAGAAAATGGGAAGGTACTAGTAGTGGCAGTCAGCTACACTGCACTTTTTTTTTGTATTATTTCATTATGTCAATAAAAAGTAAAAAAAAATAAAATGGTAAACAATCTTCATTAGTCATAATGAAAGTCCATTATGAAAGAAATGGTAAATTTAATAAAATTGATTTTATATTTTGTGATTTGTCAAATTTAGACATTTATTTGAAAATAAACATGAATATCTAAAATTGAACATTCAGATATGAAGCTACTAGTCAAGTTTAAGTGTTTAATGTACATTGTCTTGTTATTAATTACTAGTAAACAAATGGAGTTGCAATTTGATAGACCAAACTTTCGTGGAATACTTTTCATTTCATTTTTACTTTAGTGGGCTAAAGTAAGAATCATTGGTAGCAAATAATTTTAGGTTCAGCTCCCCCCAGTGTACCGGTATTATTCAGTATTATTTTGACTTGACAACCATCTTGGTTTCGAATAGGTTGGAGCCTGGCTCCCTTACCCTTTGGACTGATGTTTGCCAGAAGGACAAACGTGTCATAACTGATGTTGAGTGTTGATGGTATGGCGGCCTTCACGGTGTACCCCTACCTGGCTGGGGTGAGATGGATGAAAACATTGTTCATCTTTTAACAGAGGACATAGGGGCCTCATTCAACAGAGTGTCGGGGCCTTCTATATCGGGAGGGGTCATCTACAGCATAATCCATAGCTTCCCCGACTAATTATTATTTTGAAATTATTTGTATTGAGTGCTTTATGAAAAAGTGAAAATGGGAAGACTTTGTTATGAGCCTTGTACTTGTTATCTTCATTATGGCAACCACCAAAACTTTCTTTTCATACAGGGCAATAAACATACATGTAACAGGCTTAATATTTTTCAAAATATAAACTCTTTTGTATTTTGTATATCATAATTTCAAATTGAAATACACCAAAATATCGATTGTAGCCTATGCATATATTCATCTATGGGTAGAAAGGTTGGGGAAGGTCCAAAGTGAGTGGGTCTATTTGACCCCCACACTGCAATCCGCAAGGGTTTATGGTGGCTCGAATCTTTTAAAACTCAATCAAATAACATCCACTCTTTGAGAAATTTGGTGAATGATATAAACCTGATCCGGCCCGCAGTAAGGCAGACATAGAGTATGTGATCTTCAAAAAAAAATTGTGGCTTGGGAGGTCTCCCGTGATGCATTTCATGGAGTCACCTTCCCATGGCTATAGGGCACTTACTGCACCAACCAGCCAAGATATAATCTTCTAATTGTCTCAAGAAACCTGTAGCCACCAGACCGGAAAGTATAGTATACTATTGACCTATCCTCAAAGGTTTTTGTATGTGTAAGCAACCGCAGCAACCTTCCCGTTTGAAGGCATCTGTAAGTCAGCTCTACCTGACGATACATTAGATGAAGTCATGCAGGATGTTTTCAACTTTGGTTTGGATGAATCATCTTGTGAACGTAAGCTTTAGGGATACCGATCCAGAGGAGTTTGTTGCCTCTCTGCTTTTGTTGCTTGAGACAGATTCCTACCCTTGAAGAGAAAACTGTCATTTTCTGCTGCACTACCTAGGATTAGGAGTTGGAAAATTGAGAAGCTCTCGCTCTCTCCAATGTTACAGGGTGGATAATTGGATTGATTTGATTGATGTATATCTGTATAGACTCAGGATCATATTCTTTGATAACTCGAGAGTCCATAAAGGGTTCGACGAGTAGCAAAGATAAGGAGATACATTACTGGATAGCTCCGCATTACTGTGTCAAGACTTCATATAAAAATATGTAAATTGAGCTGTTTAGAATTTAATCTTGTTGATCTAATTATTTGGTTGATTGTGAAAGGCAACTAGTTCATCCTCCAGACATGAGTTCTATTGGAAATATTAAAACTAAGATGGTGAAACAAAAACAAAATCCTGTGAGCTGTTACTGTGAACGTTACTCTCACAAATTCACAATTAAACAACTTAGGACACAGCAGAACCCAAAACAATGACCATAATCTTTGTTTCACATACATTTATTCTGATCAGCTGCTCATCATGTGAGTTGTGCCATCCTTGTTAGAAATTCTTTCGTATTGTAATCATAATTGAATATGAATGGTTTCAAATGCAAATATATTTCTTAATTGATTGTTAATCATTCCTTTTCAAGAAAAGACGATTTGATAACAGGATATGTAAAGCACCCAACACATTTGATTTTAGTGAAGCAAATGTGAAATTAAGTTAAAATATGGTCTATCATCTCACTTCTACGGCAACACAAGGATAAGCCAATGTAAGAAGTCTTCTGCAATAACATTGAAGACCTTGGCTTATCAAAGTGCCTGACTTTCGCTTTCCTCAGGTCGAGTGGGCTGAAGTCGGAAACTGAGGGGTTCATCATGGCATGCCAGGATGGTCTCTTTAACACCTTAGCCTACCAAAGTCGCGTGATGGGTATAGAAGTTCATGACACAAGATGTAGGGCCTGCCGCGAGACGTTCTAGACCGTAATGCACTTGCTGTCAGCATGTCCAACATATGCTTTCTCGACCTTTATCGACCTAACGCGGCTCTAAGAGTGCTTTATTACCATCTACGGCAATCTTACGATATTGACGAGACATCGATGTTGCCTACGCTTCGGGAAATATTCGTTGTGAGAATAGAAAAGTGCCGAATTGTTTTGCAACTATTCGTTCCCCACACTCAGGCTCATACAAGCTAACAAGCTTGGTGTAGTCCTTTTCGACCATCAGAGCAAGACGATATTTGTCGTGGAGTTTTCAGCTCCTGGCGGGATGAATATCGTCCGAAAAGATAAAATATCAAGATTTTCTCTTCGAACTCCGCAGACTCTATCCAGACCACTCTGTCAAGATGGTTGTTCTGATTATTGGAGTCTTTGGTGGAATGATGACTAAGGCAAAAATCTTTGCCGAACAGATGAAGAGGGCTGTCGATCTTGGCTCGTTGCGTTTGCTCAGGGCACATGAATCTCGGATCCAATGATCACTTACCCCACGGAGTGGGGAGTGGTCGTTGGTTGATAATGCTGGCGCTCCTTCCCGAATGTATCGGGGGATAGGACCTGACCAGCACATACTACGATAAAAGAATTCAAAAACAACTGGACCAATTTTTATGATTTTTGTGTTTTTGGATTTGTCTCCATCGGGAATAGGATAATATAGAATATTGAGTATTAAAATATGATATTTTATCAATACTAATAATGATAATAATAATAAAAGAACTCAAGAACGACTGGACCAATTTTTATGATTTTTGTCTTTTTGGATTTGTCTTCGTCGTGAATAAAATAATAAGTATTGAAAAATGATATTTCATCGATAAAAAAATGTAAATGTAACTTTGACTTGCTTGTAAATTTTTCCTTTTGTGTATCTTAGCACAATAAAGTAATATTATTATTATCTCAAAGATACAAAATTTACACACGTCTCACTTCTCAAGTAACTGAGAATGGTCTAACTCAAGTTACTTGAGAATGGTCTAACAAACTGAAACGGGTCGTAACAATTAATAAACTAGTAGAAATTAGACAAAAGTCATTTTTTTTATCTCATATTCTAGATAAATAAACCTTACCAATAGTTTCATTTAATAGAACTTATAATATTTGCAATAATATAATCATTTTTTTGATTCTGAGTAATATACTTTTCAGAAGTCTCGCCGTTGGTGTATCGTATCTTTTGAGAGCAGTGAAAAGTTGCAGGAAGCACTTGTTGAGTTAAAGAAAGTGAAATTCAATAATAAATTTATAAAAATATATCCTTACAACAAAAGTGGAAAGAAAAGAAATAGTAGGAAAACTTCAGATTCTTTAGAGCCTTGCTTGGAAATCTTGAAGAAAAGTTCCTAACCTTGATTACATTCATTTTGTGAGAATGGGGATTTCTTTCATAGGAAATCCTTGTGAGCCAGATGACTGGGGCGATAGCGATATTGAAATTATGGGCATTGACGAATGGATAACTATACCTAATGATGTGGCGGTAAGTTTCATTTTATTTCATCTTTTCTGTTTTACATATTTTTATGGTAACAGCAATTTATGACTAGAAGTAATACAAATTAATATTAAGAAAATAGTTTTGATAGTTGTTGAATTTTATAATATATGAACTTTTCATAAAGTTAAATGTATATTTATTTTCCACTGAAATGCAGACTTTACTGATGATATTGTGTATTGGTTTGTTTTCATTATCATCTTGTACTTAGACAAAAACTAGTTTTTCAAAAAAAGATTTTATATGAAGTCATCTCATACAGTGTAGAAAATTTTGTATATGTGACAATTTTGGCTACCAATTTGGATTTTGTAATAAAACAGATTTAATAGGGGGCTACTTCAAAGAAAATGTTTCCGTTAGAATTAAGAAGTTTTCAACATTGAAGCAATTGTCGAATTTTGTTTTTTGGCTATACTTCCCCCATTTAGAATGATATAACAAAAAAGCAGAGGAACTTTCAATACTGTTTCATATTTGTAAAATATGATATAAAGAAATTTGCAAAGCGAAGTTTCACTTGTAGATTTCATCATCGACTCGAAAGTTTTTTTTCATCATTTTTTGTAGCCACTATAATAAATTCATCTCAGTACTACAATTCATGTGTTTCCCAAAGTTTTTCTCCAAAAACACATCATCAATATTTGTATAGTCTCACAAAGATAGAAACCAATATCTTAGAACTCAAAGATACATAATCTCCATACATCTTTTGAAAATTTTCAAGTAGAGGTGACCGCCCATGCATTCCAGGGTTTTGCATTAATATGGAAAAACTGTTCAAAAGCCAATTTTTAGGGAACATAAATGTTTGTCTGATGAAAGGTTGGTTGAGTAATAGGATCAATTTTTTCTGAAAAAAAAAACAATTGCTTTCTTGCCTACCTTTCGAATTCATGCTAGATTAAATCTCAAATTGTTTACATTTGAAATTTTTTACATACATTTTTTTTATATTTCATTGTTCTAGTGTTATTATTACACTCATAGATATGTATATTAGGTTTCCTATTTCAATAAAGATTATAATATTATTGCTATAATAATTAAAATCTTCTTCAGGGCTCTGTTACAATGCATTTTCAAAAACATATTTCCCACAAAACTTATACGATTATATTATCGTTTCAATTCTACAAGAAATAATGAGTTCTTATTTGTGTTGATAATATTACTATTTTAAAAACCGTCAGACATATTGGATACATATTAAAAAAAATAAAAAACATTGCAACAGATAAACTTCCAAGACAATACCAACACAAAACGACATGAAACAAATGAATGGCTTTATCTATGATTCTGATAAGGTGGTGTCTGTCTTTTAATCAATGACAAAGAAAAAGAATGAAAAAAGGGTAAATTATTTGGCTATTTTACTTATCAAATGGAAATATGCACTATTATCGACATCTCTTCGCATTTGAAGATATGTATCCTTTCGCTCAAAAGTCTTTTGGAATAAATATGGCTGAACATCTAGAATAGTTGGATGATCAGAAATGTGTCCATATTATTGTTCATGTCCAACGAGTGCTGTGGAGTTTTTATATTTAGTTTCTTTGAGTCTCGTGTGTTCTGAAATTCGTGTTATAAGATACCGTCCGGTTTGACCAACGTATAATTCGTGACGGTTTCCACAATTCAATTTGTACACTATATTGGATTGTATTTCTTGTGGTGTTTTTGGTTTTTGTTTCGAGAAGAAATGCTTTCCAACTGTATTTTCATTTGAAAAGGTGACAAAATGGAATTTTGTGATATTTGGGATTCACCCCTGGATTTTGGGAAGAGAAACTTTTTTCTTTAATTATTTTTCTAATATGGGGCTCTAGAAAAATTATTGGAGAATTGGAAATGGCAATTACTCTTGATCCAAATTCCTTATAATGTTGATTTTACTCTGAAAGTTAGGTTTCGAAAAATAATTTAAAAATCTCTAAGAAAAAGTCGGTTTATGGTACCAGTCTACCTTTAAAATTCGGCTTGCATCTTGGATTATTTTAGTATCTAGATAGAATAGAAGTTTATTCATCACTAAAGTTCACATGTACAACATAAAAAAAGTGTAAATACATGAAACTTATTGGACTAGTCACAAAGAGAGCTTAAAAGTAATTGAAATTTACAAGATTATACATATACATTTTTGATAAGTAAAATATTAAATAATACAATGAACATCAACAATTTAAAAATTCCTGAAGAGAGTAGAACACCTTGTTTTTTAAAAATTCATTCAACCAACATTTTAGTTCATTCCTACTCATTAAACTTAACTCAGGATGAATAGCCATGAGTTTGTTATAATATTTAATACCTTGATATACATGGGAGTCTTGACCAACTCCTAATCGTGAGTATGGCTGGTATAATCTTTCACTGTTTCTTGTACAGTAATTATGTATATCTTTTTTTTTCCTCAAATAATTTTCATCTTTTTTAACGTATAATATGATCTGCAGCACATAAAGTGAGGGGACTGTGAGAATTCCTAGTTGATTGAACCATTTTCTACATGATGTTTTGGAGTGCACTCCTGCCATACATCTGATAATTCATTTTTGCATAACAAAAACTCTATTCATATGTACAGAGTTACCCCAAAACATTATTCCATAACTTATTGTCGATTGCACTATTCCAAAATAAGCCAGTTTAAGGGTTTCCAGAGATATTGTACCTTTCAATTGCCTGATGATGAAGCAACTTGTGCTTAATTTATTTGTTAGATCATTAATATGAGGATCCCATGTTATTTTTTGATCTACTTTGATACCTAGAAATTTGATGTAATTCACCTGTTCTATTGTTTGATGATTAACTCTTATTAGAGGACTGAAATCATAATTTATATTTTTTGTTGTAAACACCATAAAAAATGTCTTGGATAAATTCACTAGCAATCCGTTGAAGACACACCATTCATGAAAATCATTAGCACAAATATTTGCCTTGATTACAGTATCCTGTAATTTATTCTCAGAAATCAGAATATTAGTATCATCAGCATACATAATAATTTTTTTTGGCTCAGAGCATGAATAAACCATATCATTTATAAAAATTGTGAAGAGAACTGGCCCCAATATAGACCCCTGAGGGACACCAATGTTCACAATATTTTCTTTAGAAACAATATTAACGCGAGAAAACTACTTTTTAGTGAGTAATTTAATCAAGAACTCGTTATTTGTTGTAGAATTGAAACGATAATAATTGTATAAGTGTTGTGGAAGATATGTTTTTGAAAATTCATTGTTAGAGTCCTGAAGAAGAAGTAGGTCAGGTGGACTTCTTACGGAGTTCTGGGTACTGAAATACGAGGTATTTTAAGCCACTGTATTGACAAGTGTTCTTGGTATATGGGAGTTATTCTCGATCTAGTTGAGTTGAGGTAAAATGGAATGGAAAATGGAATAATACGGAATCAGAAGTAGGCCAGCTAAATTTCCTACACAGTATGAGGATATTCATGAGTTATTGAAATACGAGGTATTTCAAGACACTGTTTTGCAAGGTGATTGCCCTTTTCGATAATTATTCGCGGTTTAGTTGAATTGAGGTAAAGAGGGTCGCGTACGAATCCAGAAGTGCATCAGTTAGATTTCCTACAAAGGGCGGGGAATTCGCGCAGTGATTTCGGTATTTGTGTTTATTCGCGGTTTATTGCGGTATAGTTGATCGAGGGAACATTTTTGAGTTCCTAATATCAAGGTAAGAGTTTGAAACAGGTTGAGAAAAAGTGGCTTTTGGCTGTTCTTGGACTACAGAGAGTTCTAGCAGAGATTAATTGGTGAGCGTATCTATAAATTCATATGTATTATATAGGTTATATGTGTTCTATATTTTCAAGTTGGCACCCAAGGTATTGTTAAAAATACATATAACTACGAATCGGGTTCCCATTTGCATGATTGGAATTATTATTAGGTTATAGCGTCTTTTGCGCGTTATACAGGATGGGCCTGTTGATAGTTCCCCATAGTTGTGTTTCATTTTGTTTTTATAGCAGATCTATTAGAATTCAGGCAAGGCATATCTCTGTCCTGTTGTTTATATTCACATGGTTATAATTATATATTTATTTTATTTCAAATTGCACACATTTCAAATAATGTTCAGTAAATCAGATATAAGGGAAAAGTATCAATATTGCTTTGTTTAGGTTTAAACTTCAGTCATTAATTTTTGTTAATTTTTATTTTATCAGTTGCTAATCCAATTATTCTGTCTACTTTATTTATCAATAAATTTGGTTTCTGGAAACTATGCTAATATAATTTCATTCCCTCAAACCTTTGAAAGACCATGCATTTAAGCTGTGACTGAATCCAGTCTCTGAGGACATAATTGGTGGCATAACCAAGCCATCCCGCTCTGTGAAGTTAGGAAAATAAAAAAAAATCAACCAGTTGACCAAGCCAACCACTAATTCTAAATACGTGTGATCAGAACGGATTTTAAACTTTTTCTGATATGGTGGCAGCAACTCTCGCGTTACCAAACTAAATTAAAAAGTAATCCTTTCGGCTGAACGATCCCATATATAGAGGGTTGTATTTTTCTTGTGCGAATATAATTAAGATTTATTTATTTACAAACTCTACTGACCCATTGCCCAGTTACAGAGTAGGAAAGGTACTTGTCACAAATAGATTTGTTAATACAACAAAATGACAAAAAAAAAAGATCAACAAGAGTTATACAATTTCATACAACCTATTTCTAAAACTAGTAAGATTTTGGAAGAAGATATCACAGTCATTTTGTACATTATTATAAGCATTGCACATAGCATTTAATGGGGCATTTTGATAATTATTATATCATTAGGTGTATAAAAGGATCGGCTATTCAGCCTGACGGTGATTTACTACAACATTAAATAAATTTAAAAAAAATAACTATTTCAACATAAATCTTTATTTTGTAGATTTTTAGCTTTGTTTGGGGAATTGTACCTTGAGATAGAGCAACCAGGCGATACTGAAATTGTCGTTTTTGGTAATTACAGAATGAATTCTGTTGAAAAGTTCCGTACATTGATTTCATGTCAGCATGGATTCGAAAATGAATTATCAGACAGGCAATTTGTCTCGCTTGGAGTTACACAGGGGACTGTTCTGGGACCTTACATTTTTCTATTCGTTAATGATCTTCCCAGGACAGACACTTGAAGAACTTACAACAGTTGTCAAAAAGATGGGCTCATGGTGCATGAAAAATAGGCTTATCCTCGATAAAAACAAAACTGTTCCTTATTTAAGAAAAACAATACCAGTAGATTTCAATTTTCATATTAATTTAAATGTTGAGGAAAGTGTTAAGCTTCTTGGTACCTTAATTGATTCAGACTACAGATTAAATTCTTATATTGAATATATTTGCTCAAATTGAACAAAGTTTATTTCGCTACCCTTAAAAGGAGTCATGCCTGGACGAGACAAGGTTAGTATGTTTGGCCTATGGTCATATGTCGTACAATGTAGTATCTTGGGGTCAAGCAATTGACTGGCATAAGATTTTATAGCCTATAAAAGAATTAATTGTTCACTTTCAACATTGTGGTGAAAGTTGTTGTAGCATTTTCAAAGAAAAGCAAATATTAACCCTAAGAGGTTTATATATTCTGTGGCATTTTCAAAGAAAAGAAAATATTAACCCTAAGAGGTTTATATATTCCGAAACATCATATGAAAGAGTACAGACCAACTGTTAACCAGCATATGTATATGAAACAAAGTGTTATAGGCTACAAATTCCAAAATCCAAAACAACATATGAAATATCCCCCTGTTACAATAATATTATTTTGTTCAATACGCTTCCTGCCTGTATCCAGGTAATCAGCTGTTATTCCAGATTCAGATATGAGTTCTCATATGCTAGAGGAGTTTTATAATTATTCAAATATGTAACAATGTTTTGAATGTTCCTGATATAGCAAAAAGTGACAAAAAATGTTTTGAAGGTTTTATTCATTCAATATATAGCTAATATAGATGTATTTTAGATTATGAATGAGCATTTTATATTGTTTGTTTTTAATTGTCATGTGTACATTGTATATTATATTGGTGAATAAATTTATTCTATTCTGTATATTCCCTGGAGCATCAGGCAATACCAGTGTCTCGTCAATACCGCTGGAGTGCCGAAGGTGGTGGTGAATCACTTTTATGGTCGTGTTATACCGGTGGATATAGGCAGAGACCGCATAAGCTGGGTATACTGACAGCAAGTGCATTAAGGGTCTCAGGCGTCATAGCAGGCCATTCACCTGTGTATCAGGGACCTCTATATCCATCGCGGAACTACGGTAAACCAAGGTGTTGAACTAATCTCTTCAGCTTCATTGTGGGCCTTTTTCTGACTGGGTTTCAGTGTGGTTTGTGACAGCAACTTTGTTCTTCCCCAACAGTTCTAATGACCATATCTGTGCTGACACTTGCCGCAGAGAGAGTTCTTTACTGTACTTACCTCTTGAAAGTGGCATTGTATAAGTCTCTCCAGCATTCAGATGATGTGGGATGTTTCCTTCCAGCACATCCTCTCTGTAGTCACCGCTTCTTCCACTTTCGATATGGATCATCGCAAATTTGTTTATTTCGTGTTCCATACCCATAGCATGCGTGTACTCCTCCATAACCCTCAAGGTCCGATGAAGATCCTCTTCTCCAGTATTTCTGAATTAGTATATAAACAGTTTTCTTTTTTTCTCCATGTATATTCACAAACATTTTTAAGGTCAATCCTACATTTTCATCTGAAGAAGAAGATTCATTGCCTGAAATTGATGAAACTGAAGATATAGATTACAATCCTGATGATGAGAATTATGAACTGGCGCAAGATATAGAAGATAATATTATTGATCAAGTTTATGGTGATGATGATGACATTGACGATTACCAGGATGACTATGATGATGAAGAGGAAATCGACTATGTCACCTTTTCTCGTAAGTAATGCACAATTCTATCTTTCAGATTGATATCAAATTATGACAATATTTTACTACAGTAGAATAATATAACCAGTAGGCTCTCTTACCACGTGATCCGCCCGAGTTGCCGGGGACCTTCAACCGCTTTTAGGATGAGATTCTCATCCAACGCGTTCAGTCCTGTAGTATCAAAGGATTTGACGGTAACACGGACATCGGATTGGTTATAGTAAACGGTCGAAAATTGATATTGTGTTTAGTTTATTCGCTGTTGTTATTATTGTTTTTAGTTTTTGTAGTTGGCTATAAGTAATTTACCAAAAAATATTCTATAATAACCTTAAATTTTGTTTTTATATGAGCGCACGTCTATGGTAAAAAATGAAATTGGCTCCACACTTCGTTTCGAGGTCATTGAAAACTTTGTGAATTTATGAATGAAAGTAGTGGGAGTGGACTTACTGGTTGATTTTTACTATGGTTTTACAATAGGAATCTCATCATTCTTACCAATACATTTCCTCATTTCAAATAATTTGCATGAAGGCGTTCAAAGACTACAAATCATTTTGCTTCGGAAACTACAACAGTATGGAATAAGAGGTGTGTCTCAATTGGTTTAAATCCTATTTATCTGAGCGTAGTCAAATTGTTAAAACGATCAGTTATTCTGAGGAAGGGAAAACAAACTGGAATTCCTCAAGGCTCAGTCCTTGGTCCATTATTATTACTTTTGTATATAAATGATCTGACATCTATTGATATTAAAGGTGAATTCACACTATTCGCTGACGACATTACAATTTTACGGCATGACCAAAATCCCTCTGAACTTGAAACAATAATAAATTGTGATATTACCAAAATAAAAAGATTGTGTGACGCAAATCTTCTCAGTTTTAATATATCTAAAACGAACGTAATTTGCTTCAAATGTTCCATTAGCAATTTACAAGTTGACAACATCTTTGTTCTGAATAAACAATCAACTAAATTTCTGGGACTAATTATTGACAGTGATTTGAAATTTGAAGACCATATCAGGGGTCTCAAGTCAAAGTTGTCCTCTGGGTCTCACGCTGTGAGGCTGACATCTTGTGAGTTAGGATTTGCTGCTGCCAAAATTACATATCACTCTTTCATAGAATCTCACGTACGATATGGAATCCCCATTGCAATCAGTTTCATTTGTACAGAAAAGAGCTGTACGTTTTCTGCGTAAAGGGGGCGCCCATAAATTACGTGAGATGTTTAGGGGGGGGAGGGGGTTGGGTCAAATCTCATCTAATCTTAATATTTTGATCCATTTAATCCAGATTGTACATGCTTAAGATTTAATCTTAAGCGTAATCGTAATACGATTAAGATCATTCACTAATTCGTTCGAAAGAAAATAATTTCATTCATAATTCGACGTTATACATCTACTGACTGTCAAACCACCATATTTGTTTTATACCAAATAGCTCAATTTAATCTGAATTTACGGTACAGTGTAGACCGTCCTTTGTTTTCACGCCACTGTCAGCCGAACGCGCGACTCGATGAACGAGAGCGTACGAGCTCATGGACATGTTGGTTCCAATAGTCTCTCTTGAGACTGCGCATGATTCTCCATGGACTGAATTAGAGTAAATATTCTTTTTTTAATCACAGTAATTACGATTTAAAAATTCTATTGTTGAATTTTTATTACACTTATAATTAAACTCTCAGCAATATTGATTACTAGTCTTAACTAGTCGTAAATAAAAGCACGAAGCAAATTATATTTTTCTTTTTACAATAACCATCCAACGTGTTTACGTAAGAAACCCACATTTTGAAAAATCTCACGTTAGATTGGGGGATGGGGGAGGGGGTTGAGTAAAATCTCACGACATCTCACCAGGGGGAGAGGGAGGGACAGAAAATTAAAAAAAAACACCTCACGTAATTTATGGACGCCCCCTTGCAAAGCCACGAAATTCTTGCACTGTTTGAGGAAAAGAAAATCCTGACTGTAATATCAATTAAGAGTACTATCAAAATACTTTTTAACTCGACTTATGTCGGACCCTCAATACATTTTAAGTAATCAATATTGGAAATTAGATATGAATCTTCAGATAATAACGCATATTTTAACTTGAAAAAGTCGGAATTTAATAACTTTCGAGATTGCAATCGGAATTTAACAAAATTATTATTAACTTTTTACATCCATATCGGAATACTGTCAAATTTCGACTTTGAACTCGGAATTTAACGAAATGCAGTCTTTGAACTCAGGATATAGTAAATAAAATTTTTATGATTCTATCTCATAACAAGTTATTTTGTTTATAGCTCTTTCTAATAATTGCTAAGCATATATTTTGACCATAAACAAAGTAATATACAGCGTGACTCACGGTCGATGGTAGGTTAGACGTTTCTGGAAAACGCAAAGCATGAGACTGGTTTCGGTTTGTTAGACCACTCTCAAGTAACTGGTCAGTTACTCCAATGTGTTCGGTTTGTTAAATCATTCTTAAGTAACTGATTAGTTACTTAAGAATGGCCTAACAAACCGAAACCGATCGTTAACATATAATAAACTGTAAAAATTAGAAAAACGTTATTTTCTTTGTCCTATATTGAGATTGGTCTTACAAACTGAAACCGGTCGTAACCAATAATAAACTTAATTAAAAATTATCCCAACACCAAACCGTTATTTTTAACTGAAGAAAGGTTGGTTGAGTATCATAAATTTGAAAAACAATTCTTTTTTTTAAGAAAAAATTGATCCTGTTACCTTTCTTCATAAAAATTATTGTTTGAAGTAGTCAAACCTTTAGCGGTGTTGTCAGATTGTTCAGTATAAAGTTGAATTAAGTTCATATAAAAATACTGGCTAGGTTTGTATTTTCTAGTATTCTGAAAGGTTGTGTTTGAAATTTTGGAAAGTGAAGTTTCCAACCAAATATCAGGTTTTAGGAAAATTTTCATTGCAGATAGGAAATTAAAAATGTTAAAAGCGAAAAAATAATCTTTTTTTTTTGCAGAAACTGTATGATACATCAAAATCATTGGGGACAACCCAAGAAGTTAAAGCTTTCAAAAATATCATATTTGACTTAAGATACGACCAGAGAAGCTTTAAATTTGGTATTAGACCAGATCAGTAACATGCAGTTTGAAATAAATGATAAATTTGTACCAGATTATAAGCTTTTTTCAACAGTTGATCAACTTTGTTGTCACATTCAAATGGCTGCAGATGGGATTGAAACACCTGGTCGATCTAGTCAATCTGGAGGTAATAAAGGCAATATTATAGTAGATGATAATAGACTACTTCCGCTGCCGAAAATTGAAGTACCAACATTTTTGAGAGAAATACGTCAGTGGGAAACGTTTCATTCGCTCTTCAAGAGTATGATCGACGATAATGCCTCTTTGACAGATTTAGATGAAATTCATTATTTAGTGGGAAGTTAACGGGGACCGGCCTCAGGAGTTTTGTGCAGGACTTATCACCGGCGATAATTATAAAATATTGTATAAGGCTCTGATCGAAAAATATGACAATAAACAAATGTTGGCAGACAGTTATTTACAAATTTTTGATTTCAAACCTTTGCAAAGTGAATTTGCAAAAAATTTGTATTTTTTTCTAGAAAGGTTTGAAGTAGCGGTCTCGGAAGTGAAAAAATTAAATCTATCAGATTTAGCAGATTTCATGTCACTTTATCAGGCTTTACCTAAATTAGATCACGATTCTGTTAGGGCTTTTGAAATGAAACGAGATTGTTCGAAAATTTCAACTCATGAAGATTTCATGAAGTCCATACAAAATCATTCTATTATAACTAACTCAAATCTCATTATTCAATGCTTTATATATATTTCTACAAGTATAAGTACTTATATTTTAATTAAGTACCTGAGTTTTACCTACCCAATTAATTTCGGAAATTTGTACCTGAGTTTGGGAATAAACCAATTAACATTAACATAAGAAAAGAAGAGAAAGTGTACAAATTCAAATAAACATGTGATGAATGAAATTATCTGTATATGTATCAGTTAAAGCGTTATCTGGCGTTTAATCCTATTCCAGCGTGTATTCAAAAACGAATCTTAGTTACGTCATTAATAATAAGATTCGCCAGAATGGAATGATTCAATTTGTGTCAGATGTCAAATTCAATAATAAAAACAAACTTTTTAATTTTCTCTAACGTCAATTATAATCGGATTTGTGCAAGTAATAATTTTCCAGCTTTATTTTGTACATCCTTACAACGTATTTGACGAGAAATTTTCAGCACTTTATATTCTATAACGATCAAAATAAAACAGAAACTGACAACTGAGGTAACGTAACGATGAATACGTTTCAAATCATAGTTGATGTGACGTCATCATTTCAACGCCAGAATGAATTTATTTAAATCACAGACAAATAAGTTTTGAATACATGAGCGCCAGAAAACGCCTTTATATACCAGTTTCCATATTTGAAAAAATATTTAGTAACAGGCAGTTATTTTAGAAGCTATGCTGTAAATTTTCATTTGTGAAATTATAAAACAACGATAAAAATAAAAACAACAATAAAAATTAATTGGCTCTCCGGAGCGACTTCATTGATTCCAGTGGCGCATTTGCTCTTTCAGCTGCAGGAAAATTCGGAAAAACCTGCAGCACCACATCATCTGAAGTTCTTGATCTGCCAATGTCCTCTTTCTCATAAAACAAAATGTAGGCTCCAGAGGCTCCAATAGATTCAATACATCGCCAGAACACTTCGTGACACGACTATCGTCAAACTTAAACCACTCCGTTTCGTCTTTGACCAAGGCGTAATAATGATCAAATTCAACGCTAGAACCACAGTGAACAATGACTGCATGAATATTATAATAGTGGTCTGCTAGATTGAAATGTTCATCTATTTCGAACCTTCAAAAGAGTTTCTTGCTCTCGTCAGAGGTTGAGCCTTGTTTGAAGATCATCAGTGTTATTAGATTGACTGGTGCCTCAGCTATACTTGTTTCCTTATAACAGACAGTTAGTTTGGCGCATGTTTGGCAATACAGCCGATCATCACCTGTTAAAAATTCGATTTTCGAATGATTTAACAATAACCTTTGCACGGACGGGTTATTAGTCATATTAGGAAACGCTAGATGAAGTTCCAGAAATTCACATACGTTTTCACTACAGTTATTTAATTCTATTTGGTCATTCAGCAAATGGCCCGAATTCATAAGTCTGTTTATTTCTGAATATTCTAAAAGATTAATTTGAAAACTGTTCTCTTCTAAATGTAACATGTCATAGTCATAATTGAACTCATGTCCTTCTGCTGAAAGATGGTTTGCAAATGTGGAATTGGTGTTTCCATTTAAGCAACTACTTCTATACTTATGATGCACTGTTTGGAACCTTTGGTGTAGTAATGAATATTACTGGAGTTTTTTCCCAACCCCAAATAGTTATTTTTAACACATCGACACGTGTTTCGATCACCAAGTGATCATCTTCAAAGAGGAAGATTAAAACCAGTTTTCCAGTAAATCCAGTAATATTTTTCAACTACTTCTATGCTCTTCAATTCTTTGGGAAAAAGTTCTCCCTGCTTGGCCAATATACAGTTTTGGGCATGAGTCACAAGTCAACTTACATACCCCTGATTTATCCGACAGTGAAGTTTCGTTTTAATTGTTTTTAATAAATTTACTTAAATTATTTTTCGTTCTGTAAGCCACGTCCAAGTGTTCCTTTAAAAAAAAACGAGCGATATTGTTGGTGGGTTCACCTTGATATGGCAATGTTCTATATCGGACAATATTGTTTTTTAAAGATGGGTAGAACTGGTCCAAGGCTTGTTTTTGTAGTTTTTTTAGAAAGAATGGAGACAATAATATCTACCTTGTAATTGTTGTTGACAGCGATTTGTTTGATGAAACTTAGTTCCCTCTGAAAATTACTGAAATATTCAAAAGTCTATGAAGCATACTATTGAAGGCATCTTCTTCATGCTGGTAGGGATGTGTGGAGGAATCATGTATGACAATGTCTGTATAAGATGGTTTGTGAAAAATTGCAAAATCATGTCTATTATTAATTTTCGAGATAGTCAAGATAATTTATTGAATTATTCACCTCCCTTTAGGAATCACACGTTAAAAGGTAAGACCTCGTTAGTCCCTAGCTCGCACAAGTTTCTCAACTTCTGAGAGTTGTCGTTCGTATCGGGGCGGCAGCTGATTAACGGAAAAACAGATTTTTTTTAAACAGATTTTTCCAGTGATACCAGCAAAACAAACTTATGATTACATCTACATATCTGTACCATTACAAAAAATTGTTGGTTAAATAATTATTATGGATTTCATTCTCTAAATTATTATATGCTGCAAAGCAAAAACTCTTTTAATTCGTTGAAGATCTCTCACAAGATCACCTTCTTTCACTTGTTGCAACATGCAGAAACTTGCATTCGCTAAACAATGTTGCGAATGTTTAAACTGATGTATCTTTTTCTTATATGTGAAAGCAAACATTCCTAACATCCCTGGTCTGATAGGGTGGAAAGAGGTATAATTTGCCTTGAATAATTGCAAACTTGAAAAGAAATAATCAAAATTCAGGTGACAGAAATGGTAATTCTTTTTTCAGCCCCACATTCTTCAAATGATTTTGAGCCGTCTGAACTTTTGGGACACAGTTACATGCCAGACCTTATCGATTCCACGACATATGATGGTGATGGTGATAGTGATGGTGATAGTGATTGATTGTTAGTGTATATGTTATATTATTTTGTTTTTTAAAATTTAGTTCTATTTTCTGTTCCACTCTTTATCTGTTGAATCATTGTCCAGGTGGGATCTGTAAATCATTCACAAATTTATTTAAGATTCTATTGAAAAAGATTTTTTCCTTTATATATTACATTGAATGAAAGGTTTCTGAACTCACAAATTGAAGCCTTTTTTTTTCAAATCACCGCTAATAGTGTAAACAAGTTGACTTATCACAGTTTCCAGATATAACAAAATTCCTGCAATCCTCTTTTCAAAACAAGACAGCAATGACGAATGAAGCAATAACAGTTTTGATAACATCAGAACAGTAATACATCCTTCATTCAAATTTTTGGGCTCAACGGGTTGAAAATATTGAACAGTTTGTGAACAGTTTAATCTAACGTTTATCAAACACATCTATGGTTTGTGGAGTATTTCAAAAAAATAATATATACACGGAAAGTAACTACTAGTATTTCTAGACAAAATGATGATCTAATTTTAGCTCTCGCAGAAGTGATCAAGAAGCCTACAACCTCACCCCATACTACAAAGTTCTGACCAACCAATATGTTTTCCTGAATATCAGGGATAAATTTGAATTGAAAGAAGAAATTGAATGTTACTATTGAATTTCCTCTCGAAGGTTAAGATATGATTATTTATGCAGCAGACAGTGTACCCCGTATTATAATCCGCTTTCATTGTCAAATAACAGTGGGACCTGTCACTGTCTTGTACAGTTTCTCATAATCTACCATCAAATCGTTAAATTTGAAAGTGACATTTTCATATTTTGTGCTATGGGGCAACAATTTATTTGGTGATAATTGTAATCATTTATCCCCCGGACAACTTCTAGAGCAAGGATGAAGCAAGACTATCAAAAAATTTGATAATAAAGCATGTTTTGGCTGAGTTTAAAAAAAAAATTGTTTTAGTTTGCCCAACTCACTTACACCTGATAATAATATTTAACAAATATGATAAATTGGTGAAGATATACAGATCCTGTTAAACATTATCTACAAAATTTGTAAATTTTCAAAAACTTGTGTTGTCAGAATATATTTCGCAGATTCTTCAGGGGTTTGATGAAAATATGAATAGTTTTTGTTGATATAGTCTTAGTACAGATCTTTCATTAGTTGCGAAGGTTGATTTAGTTATTTTGACATCTGTACTAGCGCTATTTTTGCATGTTATTGAATAAATATGTTTAAATAATGTTTTTTTTTTAAATTCTGAATTTGTTGGAATCTTTATACTAGTTCAGAAATATCTAGGTAACTTCCACATACAATGGAAAAAGTATCACTTACATTCATACATTTCTATATATTTTAGCATTTTCAAAATGCTAGCCTCACATTTTTTTTCAAAATGCTTTCAAAATGCATAGCCTCACATTATTTTTTAGATGGTCCGAGAATTCCAGTTTGCCTTCCTCCCTACAAAGGTACAATTCCTGCAGAAGTGCAGTGTAACATTTTGTTTCACCTGTTCTTTGACGAGAACAGGTGACTTGAATACTGCGTATATTACAGCTTGATAAAGCTGTTTCCCTAACTTTTACTATAGCTGAAGATCAGTTTCCATACTGAATTGGAAGGGGTATATTTTTAGGGGAGATTAATTTTTGGGAAAAAAAGGTTTTGGCTTTCTACTTTATCTTTATACAAAAACATGTGGGAATCTTCCAAAGAAAGGAAGGAAGCAATCAATTTCAAGAAGTTTACTCTATACAAAGATGTGTAGATCATGCAAAGAAGTAACTTTTCAGATACAAACTGGAAGAAACATCCTCTCAAAATAGCAGGATTGCTACACAATATAACTACACTTACATGGAACACTGCCATCCTCACTGTTTTACAAAATGTGAGAGATCTTTCAATAGCTGCCTTATATTTGGTAAATCCATGGTTTCAGATTGCATTGGCTTATTAACAATATTAACTTGTAACAATATGTTATATTAAGCCACCAATAAGTATGAATTCAATTGCTTCATGGATTGAATCAGTGACAATGCTTCAGATGCTGCAACTGTATCACTTGTTTCTTCATTGAGATTTATCAGGGTATCAAGAACTGAAAAGTAGTTATAGCAAACTGTAGCAAGACAAAACTGCTCTCTCTACCTTTATCAATTTTTTTTAAATGAAAGTATTTTTATTTAATTTGAAAGGGTTACAGTTTAGGAGTGACTAATTTTTGGGAAAGAAAGTTGTTGGCTTTCTACTACTACATCTTGATACAGAAAAATGTGGGAATGTCATCGATGACATCGTAATGACATTCATTCACCTTTTCTGTATCAAGATTGAGTAGTAGAAAGCCAAAAACTTTGTTTCCCAAAAATTTGTCACTCCTAAAAATATAACCCTTTCAAATTAAACAAGATGCCTTCTGGCTGGGATTTAATCAAATAGGTGAATGAATGTCATTACGATGTCATCAGTGACATAAGTAGATCAAACTTATTACGTGGCATTAAAAATCGTAATTTATGAAAGAATTGTGTGTTTTTTCTTATAATGTTATCCAGATTGGTATTGAGGAGCCCTAAGGCAAGTGTCTACGGCAAAACATCGAAGTCTACCACTGAGCATGACAGTGTTCCATGTAAGTGGAATTTTTATTTTCATTTAGTATATTTTGTAGAAACCCTGTGAATGATATCTGATTTAATTTCATAACGAATGTTTTTTCTGTAGTGTTTTCTGTAGTATACAGTGTTGATATAAAAGTATTTGCTTCGAAAGAATTTTTCTTTCGTGTAATTCAATGTTTATATGAAAGTAGCTGTTTCAGGAAGGCTTTTTCTTCCAGATGTGTGTCTGAAAGTTACTTCTTTGCATGATCTACATATCTATGTATACAGTTACTTCTTTTAAAATTGATTACTTCCTTTCTTTGGAAGATTCCTACATTTTTCTGTGCCAAGATGGAGTAGTAGGTCTATCTTACTCTTTTCAGTTTCTTTTTTACTTTATATGGCCGAAAAAACGTTCGTAACAAACCATGAGCGATAAATTTAGGGTTTAGGGTGTTCACGAATTTTGTTTGAGAAGAACTGCAGTGTCGAAAAAGTTCTCTCCAAGATAAGAAGCACCAGCTTTTACAGAAACCATGAGAGATTCATCTCTAAAATTATGAAAAAGTTGTCAATTTTATAACTTATTCAAATGACGTTTTACAATTTGCTAATTGGATGATTGTGTTTTTCCTTTTTGGGGGGTTTCACTCTTAATTTTGTTATGTTCACTCAGTTCATGATGTAGGGTGGTAGGTGAATGAAACAGTTAGATAAAATTATTATATCTATTTAACATAAAAACAACACAATCGTACTTACAAAAAAACCAGCATAATTTTTGATAGTGTGTCACACCTTCGGGGCCGCTTCCCATTAACTGACCTCCTTTTCCCTTAATCCCCATCTTTAAATATCCAGGTGTCAAATCATTTTTCAGCAATTCCAATTCCCATCGAACAAAACCAATATTCGATGTGGTATTGAAACAGCAGTCTTATAATTGATGTTAATATTACTTGATACAATGTGAATTGGATACTTCCAGATATGCCGCCGGGTATTTGAGGAAAATAAAGAGGAATTAATATTTTTTATGAATAAATTTAGATTTTATTGGTTTTCCCCAATAATGTGACAATATTTCCTCTTCCTTTTGTCGGTGAAATTTCTTGTGTAGCTGTTTCGCCTATGAATTGCTTATTTTGTGAAGTGACCAACAGTAATCACCCATCATTTTGATATTCCATCGCCCCTACTATCATTTCTCCATCTCTTTTATGTCCTGATGAAACCGTTTTCTTTGCTTTTTTACTCGCATCACCTAAGTTTTTAGGAAAAAAGTTACAATGATTGTTTAAAAAGTGGATTTTGAAGCTCATAAGGCAACCACGAGTTTTGAATTTGTAATCATGTTTGCTACGATTAGTTTATAGTTCGGGTCTTTTGCATTACCCAAAAACTTAATCACAACTTTTTTAAATGATATCCAAACCTCCTGTTGTTGCTTCAAAGTTTGAATCGAACATCAATTTACGGATATTAGGCCCGAGGAAAAGCCCTCTTTTTTAATTTAGCTTTTGATAAATGAGGAAATACTTAAAACAATCACGATCTTTAGGCAAAGCTTCAACAAATTGTTTTATCGAACCCAACTTTATGTGCAGTGGAGGTAGAAGGATCATTTTGGGGTCGACTAAGTTTTCTTTAAGGGTCATTGTTTTTGACACCATGCTGATCTCTTGCTCTGCTGTTCCATTCACATATAAAACATGGAAATTTGTGAATCTCTTTTGTTGACCAAGGAGCAAGGAGATAACTTTTGAATTCTCACATAGCATCCAATCATGAGGTGTGTAGTTAATTTTTTCTTACATGATATTAAGATTTTCGTAAGTTTCCTTCAAATGAATTGAATGTGCCACAGGCACTGAAGCATAAGTATTTCTGTTATTCAAAAACACACCTTACCTTCCATTAGACTGTCAATGTCACGGCAGTAAACCAGATCCACGTCCTGCTGAAAAATTGAGTGTATTGTTCATCTATTGTTCTATAATGGCAAATTGAAGTAATTCTGCTTTTTCCTTGGCCAAACCCATATTTGTCACTAAACCATTTAACTCTGCTTGTGCAAATAACTTTTTTAAATTGTCCGGAGTACACCGGAAATTATCTCAGTGGATTGACTTTGACTACAGTGTAAAATGTCAACAATAACCTCAGGTGGCACAGGGACAGGAAAGCTCGGTGCATATTCTATTGGTCGATCAGCAGATGTAACGTTAGAATAAACAATAACTTTTTTATATTTATTATGTCCATATTTTTGTTATGTCCATTAACATCTATACTGTAAAAATTACAATTATCTAAATGATTTTTTGCCCTCTACATATGAGTACTGAAAATTTAAAAGCTATCTTCCTTTTTCATACCATTTCCTTAGATCCTCGACACAAATATAATATATTTTGTGAGGAACCTAACACTTGTCTTGATTAGGTACTGATTTCTATAACAAAATATGCAAAGTAAACGTTTTAAACCAATTTAGATTATACTTAGTGAATAAAAAAAGGAAATGGCAGTAAAATTTATTAGAATTACTAAAATTAGAACAACCCCATTACTTTAAAATGAATATTTAAGTAGTTAAAAATGTATCATACATTTTGGTACAAAAACTTTATTTTTACTTAATAGTGAATTGTGAAAAATTGGTGGGTGATAGGTACAACCTTTTTTTATTTTTTTCGTAATCAGGACACTAAATTACGCAGGAATTGGTTGAAATGATCGGAAAAGTTTTTAGGTTGTTGTCCTATGTAGTCAGACAATTGATATATGATTACCATCATTTATATTGTCGTTACCTACAAAATAAAGTGACCAAAATATTTACAATCACTTTTTTGGTTTCATAATCAGCCTAAACGCACGGGAATAAGTTGAGTTTGCGCTGGTCAGGCCCTATCTCTCGAAGCCCCGATACATTCAGGAGAGCGCGGCAGCATTATCAACCAATGACCACTCCCCACACCGTGGGGTAAGTGATCATTGGGTCTGAAATTCATGTGCTGTGAGCAAGCGCAGTGAGCCAAAAATGACAGCCTTCCGCATTTGTCCGACTGATTGCTGCCTTAATACGGGAAGCCGGCAGGATTTTGAGATTCGAGAGACACAACACGCGGAGGCTCTTGGAATAAGCGAGAAGGTTTCTCGCGGAACCGGAGGTTTTTCGTGATACTTCTTGCTCGCATCACTGATGACTTCTTAACAGCCACTAGCATTCCTATCCTATCAAGGCAGTGTTACTTGGTGGTCAGCAGCACGCCTTGACTCAAAGTGTGATGGATACGTCGTACTTTGGCGGCTATTCGCCGTACTGCGGGCGTGAAAGGCCTGTTGGTCGCCTTGTAATCACGCATTGGATACGCGACGCGTGTTGTGTCGCCAACGTGATCTTAGCCTTCATCTTGTGCACCCCGTTCAATCTTCCGTACCGCAAGGCCGGGGTTTCGTCCTTTCGATTCGAAAAGCGATTAGCTGACGCTGTACAAGGCGGTGTTGATTTGTCAGATGTCAGCCTCTTCTGTTGGAACACTATGATCTTCTGCACCTGTGTCTAATTCTGTGGAGCGCCCTGCATGTTCTATTTATCTCCATTGGTGACATGTAGTATATTT